AAGGTTATCATCAAACAACAAAGAAAATTGACTTACCTTCATTTGTTCCCTTATCCTTGTTAGCTTGAAGCATATAGAAACGGTTCCTCTTAGGAGCATTTAGATCCGGGCCATCATGAGCAATTTGATTGGTCTCTTTCCCTTTTACCTTAAGTGTAGGGCAATCTCTCATCTTATGACCCTTACTCCCACATCCAAAGCATCCATCAATGCCGGCAAGACACTTGCCCAAATGTTGCTTTCCACAAGTAGCACACCTAGGCCTCTCAAGAGTATAACCACCTCCATTCCCTCTTTGAGGTTTATCAACTCCCCAAACTTAAACTTTTCTTTGTCCTCAAGTAAATCTCCAGACCAATCAGTTCAACAAGGATGTCTACAAACAATGCTACTAAAGACTCAACACAAATGAACACAAGAGGTTCAAACTACACATACAATGTTCAATTGTGCACTCTAAGTTTCAAATTGTGACTCACCATGATCAAATAGACTCATCCTCACAATGCTTGCTTCAAATGCAAGTTCAAGCTTAACAAAAGTATTCAAATCCCCTCACAATAAGGATGATTCAATGATCACACAAAATTCCACAACAAATTATGATTTCAGAATAAAATACAACTCTCACACTCATAAAGATGAACACATGCATAACTCCACCCATAGGCTTGCCCTTATTTTCCAATCAATATTCTTTTCAGCTCACTCAAGATCACAAAGGTTTTTTCAAGGCTTGTAACGGGGCTGAGTGCAAAGGTATGATCATTTTGGCTTAGTGGATTCTACCTTCTTGAAGTATGGTCTAAAAATCACCTTTTCTCCATCTCTTTCACATTCTAACATGTTCACAGTCCACCCTCTTATTCACTTAATCAAAACTCATTGGATACCGCTTTTCTTTTACTCCTTTCGCATACTTTATTTCACAATTTTTTCTCTTTTTTAATCATTATCCATTTTCACCTTTTTCTTTTCTTTCTCTTTTTTTTACATGGAGGGGTTCCATATTTTTCAAAATAATCCTTCAACAAGGGGGATTTTCCACACTTCTTGACTTTCCTCCTGTTTCACCACACCCCCAACTTAGGGTTTTGGCCTAAAATGGCTATTCAATTAACCAATACTTCATGAAGGTGGGATAAAGAGGTCAAAGTTGTTCAAGTTTCTTCCAAGGAAAAGGATAGGATCAAAGGGTTCAAACCAAGATTCACACTTCTCACAAGGTAGGCAAAAGAGGTATACTATCAAATTAAGTTCACTCTTCACAAACGTTGCCTAAGATCATTTCAATTGCTTGTTTCAATAAATCAATTGGACTAACGGGGCAAGTACTAGGCAACATCAAGCACAATATCTAAAATAACCTCACCACTCATGGCATTCAATACAATTATCAAACAAGACTCTACACTCTCTAGCTAGCGTTCAATGATCATCACAAGAGATTGACTCGACAACCGGCTAGTCACAACGAGATGCTAGAAATTCACATATGACCTAGGTAGCTCAATTTGCCTTCAACGTAGGTGCACATTCAAATTGGTCAATTGAAAACACTATTCAAGTCATCGGTATTGATCAAGACCAACACTCGAAAATGCAAAAACACAGCCCCTCATTCAACCACATCCAAGAGTGGTACTCACCCTACCAAAAACATCCAACATTGTCCTCAATGCACTAAACAAAACAGACATGAAATAAAGACAGAGATGCAATAGTACTAGATGCGAAGAATAGGGATAGGAGGATTCTTCACTATTTGTCCAATCGGTGAGGTGCTGTATAGGGCGCTAAATCTGTAGGCGCACCACCTAACGGTGTATAGCTCAACAAAATATCTTGAACACTGTCTCTCCAGTAGGGTCTAAAAGGTGATTGAAGTCGGGATGGCCGAAACGTATTGGCGCACTGCCAGTTAGACTGAACTCATCGCTCAATCTTTGAGAACACAAGCCATGCAGGAGTGGTCAAAGGACAGTGGAAATTGGGCTCACTCAACCGCGTCAGCGGATCGTTGAATTGCTTGGATTCTTCGCCAAAATTTCTAGAATTGAAGTCCTCCCTTTATGCGAAGAAGTCGAGCCAGATCGGGACAGCCATTCCACTCGGCGACTCACTGAACTGGCCATGCCTTCGCAAAAATAGTCGTACCTACACATTCAGTACACATTATTCAAACAATAAAGCTTAGGTTGCCTACCAAGAAGTGCCTTATTTAACATAGTGGCACGACGTGGAAATTCTTTCAAGCATCTTCCAAATAAACAAATTCAATTACCAAAATGTCATGATATTCTCCGAAATAGAGTTTTAGACAATGTCCATTCACCTTGAAAGCATGACCATCCTTACCTTAAATTTCAATTGCCCCATTTGAGAACACTTGAGTCACCTTGGATGGACCAGACCACCTCGATTAATGTTTACCAAGAAAAGTCTCAAGCGAGAATTGTAGAGCATCACAAAATCACCAACTCGGAATTCGCACAGAAGGATTTTTGGGATCTTGCCACTTCTTCATTTTCTCCTTATACAGGGCTAAACTCTCATATGCTCTCAATCGAAACTCTTCCACTTTATGAAGTTGATTTACTCTCCCTTTTGCGGTCTTCTCCCAGTTCATATTTAGCGTCTTCAATGCCCATAGAGCCTTCTGTTCAAGCTCAATTGGCAAGTGGCATGACTTTCCAAACACTAACGTATAGTGACATACAAATCAGTGTTTTGAGCCCAGTACGATACAACCATAGAGTATCATCCAAATTTCGAGACCAATCTTACTAATTTGCATTCACTGTTTTGGCCAAAATACCTTTAATTTGTCGGTTTCAAACTTCAACGTGGCCGCTTGTTTGTGGATGGTATGGTGTTGCAACTTGCTTGACCCCATATTTTTTCAACAATAAGGCAAATACTCGGTTGCAAAATTGAGATCCTCCATCAGTGATGATAGCACACAGGCAGCCAAATCGTGCAAAAATATATCATTTTAAGAATTGCACCACACTCTTGCCCTCATTGTTGGGTAATGCTACAGCCTGCACCCATTTGAAAACGTAATTAACTGTCACCGAAATATACTTGTTGCGAAAAAACTCACAAATGGACCCATGAAATCAATACCCCAAACATCAAACAACTCTACTTCTAAGATAGGATATAGAGGTAATTCATGTTTTCTTGATACCCCTCATTGCTTTTGGCAAGGGCTGCGACATTTTACAAAGTCATGTGTGTCTCAGTATAGAGATGACCAATAGCAGCCACTTTGAAGCATTTTTGTTGTTGTTCGCACCCCAATGTGATGACCACCAACAGGTGAGGTGTGACACGCATTAAGAACGTCATTGACTTCTTCTTCCGTTATGCATCGACGAATGATATGGTCTGCACATTCTCTAAGCAAAAATGGTTCATACAAGAAGTACTTTTTTACATCAAACAAGAAACGTTTCCGCTGATAGGAGTTGAGATTCTCAAGCATAACTTCACACACCAGATAGTTAGAAAGATCAGCATACCAAGGGGTGTTGCTTTGGTTTATCCTCATCACTGTTTCACCTGGGAATTCCGCCATAATGTCCCTTTGTTTGGAGTCGGTCATATAGGTTTCTAATCGCGAAAAATTATGGGCTGGCTTCATTTTCACACCCCTTTCGATCTTTTACTTCAAAATCAAACTATTGCAACAACAAGACCCATCTAATAAACCTCGGCTTGGCATCTCTCTTGGCTATTAAGTACCGCAACGCTGCATGATCTGTATGAACTATAACTTTAGTGCCAAACAAGTATGCCCTGAACTTTTAAAACGCATAAACTACAGCAAGTAGGTCTTGTTTAGTAACAATGTAGTTATTTTGTGCTCCATTTAGCGAATTGCTAGCATAATAAATTGGATGAAAGATTTTGTTGCGCTTTTTCCCTGGCACTGCTCCTAGAGCGGTACCACTTTCATCACACATCACCTCAAATGGTTCCGACCAATCTGGGCTAACGATCACCAAGGTAGTGATTAGCTTTTCTTTCAAACAGTCAAAAGATTTTGAGAAAGCATCATCAAAAAGAAACTTCACCTCTTTCTCCAATATCTTACACTATGAGTGTGCAATTTTTGAGAAATCTTTGATGAATCTTCGATAGAACCCTGCAACACCCAAAAAACTCTGAATACCTTTTATACAGATAGGTGGTGGCAACTTCTCAATAACCTCTATCTTTGCCTTGTCTACCTCCAATTCCTTCTGTGACACCTTGTGACCTAGGACAATACCTTTTTTGACCATGAAATGGCATTTTTCCCAATTGAGGACTAAATTGGTTTCTACACACCTTTAAAAGACCTGCCCAAGATGAGACAACAAAGTCTCTAATTAATCACCTATATCTGAGAAATCATCCATGAAGACTTCCATTGAATCTTAGTCCATGTCAGCAAAAATAGAAAGCATGCACCGTTGGAATGTCGTCCGAGCATTGCACAATCCAAACGGCATTCTCTTGAAGGCAAAAGTCCCATAGGGACATGTGAAAGTGGTTTTCTCTTGGTCTTCCAGTGCAATAGAGATTTGGTTGTACCCGGAGTAGCCATTAAAGAAACAGTACCATCCACGCCCCACAAGTCTATTGAGCATTTTATCCATAAACGGCACTGGAAAATGATCTTTCTCGGTCCATGAATTTAACTTCTGGTAGTCCATGCATACTCTCCATACGGTGACCGGCCTCATAGGTACAAGTTATCCTTTCTCATTTGGGACCACTGTGATGCCTTCTTTCTTGGGCACACAATGTACGCGACTTACCCATTTGCCATCTGCAATAGGGTACACCACACCTGCATCTAGTCATTTAATGATCTCTTTCTTCACCACCTTTTGCATAGGTGGGTTTAGTATTCTTTGATGCTCAAAACTTGGTTCGAATTCACTATCCAATTGGATTTTGTAAGTGCATATTCCGGCTGGAATACCTACAATATCAGCAATTGTCCATCATATTGCCTTGATGTAACGCTTTAACACTTCAATAAGCAATTTCACTTGCCACTCAATCCATTCCGCTACAATGATAATGGGCAAGGTATTATTCGTCCCTAAGAATGCATACCGAAGATTAGCAGGGAGCACTTTCAACTCAAGCTTTGCAGGGGCCTCTGTGGATGGTTTAGCAGGAGGACTCTCTCGCTTCTTTATATCAATATCTAGCTTCAATGGGTTTCTTGAGTACACAGCTAGTCCCGATCGAGCAGCTACCAGTTGGTCATACCCTTGAACTTCGGTCTCATCATAATTCGAAAGAACAGCCACAAGAGGTTCACCCATACACATCATTTCAGTCACACTAGCTACTGTTTCATCAATCATTGAAACTACATGAATGTCACAAGGTGGATTCAGTGATTTGCACACATTTAAGGTGAACTCCTCTTCATTTACCCAGAACTTTAACTCACCACTTTCAACATCCACTAGATTTCTTTTGGTTGCCAATAATGGTCTGCTCAAAATAATTGGAACTTCTGCATCAATTTCACAATCTAGAATAACAAAATCAGCCGGAAAGATAAATCGATCAAGCTTCACCAATATGTCATATAGTATCCCAACAGGGTGTTTGATCGACTGGTCCGCCATCAAAAGCTGCATTGTTGTGGATTTCGATTCACCCAGCCCAAGATTTTTGAAGATTGCATAGGGATTCAAGCTTATGCTCACCCCCAAATCACATAAATCTTTGGAAAATCGGAGCATACCAATGGTACATGGGATAGTGAATGCCCCTGGATCCTCCTTCTTTGTAATCACATCGCTAGTCATAATGGCACTACAATTATGAGAAACTTCAATTGTTGCGAAGTACATGCTTCTATTCCTAGTAACCAACTCCTTCATGAATTTTTCATATCCCGGCATCTCCAATAATGCTTCCACTAAGGGGAGGTTTATAGAAAGTGTCTTGAACACGAATAGGAATTTCTTGAACTTTTAATCTTCATTTTTCGTTTTGAGATGTTGAGGGAATGGGGGATTTATTTTGGGAAGATATTGCACTAGTATTTGGGATGATGTAGCCCTTTCTTTAGCTTTTTGCACCTCTCCGGTACATTGCTATGGACTCTCTTCCTTCTCTTTGAGCATTTCATTTTCTGATGCTTGAACTGAACTCTCTTCCTCAACGATATCTTTCTCTTCTTCATGAGCATTTTTCCCATCATTAACCTTCACATTATCGACTGTTATATTCCCACTTCGAGTCACCACGGCCAAATCTTTGTCATTATCAGCCCTAGAACTTGTTGCACACTCATTTTCACTCATTTCAAATAATTTGGGTTCTAATTGTGCTGAAAATTGACTCATTTGACCTTCAAGTTGCTCAATTGCATCCGCATGAGAATTTACCCTTTTATTCAATTATCAGAAATCAGCTTGCATTTACTTAAGCATATCATCATATCCTTCAACCTTATCTAGGATATGCGACAATAGTTCATCCACACGTAGGCTGCCTGAACTACCCTTAGATCTAGGGCTGTCACTTGATTGCGTGTGGTACTCTTTATGACTATCTTCTCTCTTTCGAGGGTAATTTTGTTCAGTCAAATCTTAATTGTATCTCCTCCCCTCTTCTTCATTATGTGAGTTCCAACCTTGATTCCCACCCAACTTTAAATAGCTCCGGTGAGAAACCTCCTCAAGTTTAAACACACATGTTACATCTTTGCGTTCACCAACACTCACTAGCATTTGTTTTCTCAACAACTCCATTTGGGATATCATTTTGCTAATATTCTCATCCAACTCTTTCTCCTTGTCAAGTTTCTCCTTTTTCATCCTTAAATTTAAGGGAGATACTTGGTCATCTTTAGTGTACCATGCCCGGTTTATCTTTGTGATTTCATCAAGAAGGGACAAGCCTACCTCAAATGGTTGTAACCGTATCCCCCCTCGAGACAGCTGGTCAGCAACCCCTTTGTTCACTGAGTCTAAACTCATGTAAAAATATTGAAGTATCACACTACCCGGAAGCCCATGAGTAGGACACTATAGTAGCAACTTGTTAAATCTTAGTCAAGTTTCATGAATCGGTTCCCCTTCTACTCGCTCGACATTCTGGATGTTGTCACCTAATTTCACCATTTTTTAGGGTGGACAGAACCTTATGTAAAATGCCTCGGTAAGCTCCTCCCATGACATAATGGATTCCCTTGGTAGACTTGCTAGCCACTTGGTTGCCTCCCCCAACAAGGAAAAAGGGAACAACCACAACCAAACTGATTCTTGCGAAATATTCTTGAGCGAGAACAGACTACATATATCCACAAAATTCTGAATATGGTCATGGGGGTTCTCATGATCCAGCCCTCCAATTACACCCTTAGCTTGCAAGAGATGCAGCATCGTGTTTGTCACATGGAATGCAACATGACCCATGACCGGAGGTAAGCGAATGGCACCTACGCTCCCCAATTGAGCTTCATTGGCATGATTAAAGTCACCAACACCATCTTGGTGACCAAGTTAGTTCACGGTGCTTTCTGTTGCACTCATCTTGTCACTTGATAAAAAACAACTCACAATACAAGGTAAAGCGATTCGACTACAACACAAAAAGTTCACAATTCAAACTTCAATAAGAGAATTCTAAACACCACTCCCCGGCAGCGGCGCCATTTTGATTAACCCTCAACTACACCTCGTCTGATACTAGGTGTAGACAATCGTAATCTAGTATAAAATCCAACAAATGAGTTGGGGTCAAACCCACAAGGAGCGGTACAAGTTTGAATTCAGTTATGAAGTTATGAATGCGATCTAATCGATTGTAGGAATAGAAATTATCAAAAACATTTAGATAAATTGAAAGGGTGACATAAATGTCAGATGGGGAAAATTGGTTGTCAATTAGCAACTAAAGCAATTACGAACAACAGGGGGTAATCAAGTAATTAAGGGATACTTGGGGATGTGACTGAATAATTGCCAATTTCGCTAAATGGGTGATCAATAATTACTAAAGTTTACTAAATCTTAGTGGGTAGGCTAGACTTTAGATGCAACAGATTTCTCTCGAACAACTATCATGATTCAAGTGAGTTCTCTGGAACCTCGACAAGCTTCACATTTTAAACAGCCCAATACCTCACTTTATCTACTCTCTCGAGCTAGATAGGCAGAATTGAGTAAAGAATTCACTCTCTCGAGATGAACCCACAACCACTGAAACACTACAAATACTGATTTATAACCGTGACTAAACCTCTCTCTCAAGCAAGCATAACATACTAAATTAGTACTGAAACAACCATTCCAATTCATAAAATGAACATTAGCTATAAATCAAACCCACATCAAAACAATAATAAAATAAATAATTATTGACACCCATAAGCTAAATTAGATAATTAGTCACATAGTCACACCCCCAAGAACAGGGGTTTAGCTACAAATCATAAATAGTAAGAAATCGATACTTATTACATTCTCCATAGCTGGGTATTAATTTCCAAGCTCTTACAATGATTCAATGTAGCTTCAATTCAAAAACCCAACCCAAAAACTACTCAAAAACACTCTAGACTAAGCAAGAAGATTGTTTTTTATTCTAACTATGAGTTTTCCCAATGATAAGATGCTCTGATAATTTCTTGAAAATCCATTTATAATTTTTTAGAATTTGTCCTCTGAGTCATTCGGCGGTATATGTCGAGTGTCGCCGAGCCATTTAGCAACACACCAAATGCTCTGTTCCTTCGCCATTTTATCCTGCATTATCACCAATCGAACACTATAAACTTGGGTGATCGAAGTTGGGATCGCCGACCAAGTCGGCGACGCGCCATTTGTCCTTGAAAATCGTCATTTTACTTGTATCTTAGCTTGCCGGTCTGTAATATTAGGTGATCTACGCCTCCTTCGCCAATCAATTCGGCGATTTGCCGATATATATCCTGCTCCACCCAATTCCTCTTCTTCAAGGGTTGGCATACTGTAACTTTAGGCGAGCGAAGGGACTACTCGACGAGTTGCCAAGTGTCTTCGACGGCCTCTAGGTTTGCTTTTCTTCTTTCTTTTGTCCATTGATTTCCTTGCCTTGCTCTTTTTCCCTTTTGATCTACACATTAACAATTAAAACATCAGCTTAGAGCATAAATTAGGCATTTAGGACAATAAAACTACAAAAACAAAGCCTTAAATTAGTCAGAATCTCAGACTCATCATACAACAATCACTATGAGCTATGTGATGATACATCATCTCACCAATACTGGTATAGAACTCTTCGACTAACTAGATCCACTAAGCTATGCTTAAAACGAATAAGGAATCATCTAAAAAGTATGATTCTTTAACCATGTTGGCATGCATGGTTTATGAGGATTTTGAATTGTCTAAACTCATCCCCATATGGGTTCTCAATACTATTCCCAATAATATATATAGCTCATGCTCATATGTTTAAAAACATAATTCTTCCTCAATTTTAGATAAATACTCAGAAGTTCCTCTTAAAATAGGAAATGCTCAAAACTCCTCATAAGCTCATTTAGAAAATAATATTTCTCTCATTTTAAAATGTAAAAATATTACACTTGGGAATACTTAGTTCCCTTCAACTTTACTCAAAACTCTCTTTAAAGTTTTCCTCAAAACTCTGTTTAAATACAATGAATGACTTTTAAAGACTCATCAAAACTTATAACTCAAAATAGGGTTCATGCCAAAATATTGACATGTACGAACTAACTCAAGGATCTCAATAACTATATAGAAAACTTAATACTCAAAACTCAAGAACTCAGAACTCAACGATACTACTCATCTCAAGAATACCTAACTCGTAGGGTTCAGGCAGAAATATGGCCAAGAACGACTCAACTCAAGGATCTCCATGCATAACATATAGCAATTCCATAATTAGGAATATAGTTTCAAAAAGGATCAGGAACTCAAGAACTCAACAATACTACTCATATCAAGAATACTCAACTCATAGGGTTCATGCGGAATAATGGACATGAACAACTCACGAATATAGAAACTCATGAATACCACTCTTCTCATTCTCATCTTCACCTTCTCAAGACTTCAAATGTTAGTTTCAATTTGATTTCGAAAGAATTTTCCTCATTGATTTCGAAAGAATTTTCAATTTGACTCAAAAACCCTCTTGAACTTTCCTCTTAAGTTTACCTTGATTTCAAATGTTAGTTTAACAACTATGATTAGGATATAGTATCTCTCCATGATTAATGAAGGCTTAGATACTTAGGAATAAAAACAGAGCTAAGACACAAGTTGAAGAAGCACTGGCGCAACGTGGAGATAAAAATAAATTTTTGGTCACGAAATTAATTTTGACACAGAGGACTTTGTATCCTTATCGCGACGCGGAGAGCAGGGGTGACTATTTGAAGACTGAAATTTTAAAACGCCTCCACGACGCGGGCCTAGGCACATATTTATTTCTGATCTTTTCTTTCTCTCCCAAACTCGAATCACTTGACACCCAATGCAATTCCATTGCCCAATTTTACAAAATTTCACAAACCCATAAAGTTTTCAACGAAATCAACACAAAATCCATCAAGAACAACACTAATTCGCAAAGACCCTCACCTCAAGAACTCAACAAGACTCTATTATTAAAGAATGAAGCTAAAACCTCTAGAACTTCATCAAGAATCTAAGTCATCAAATTTAAGAACGAATTTGTGGATGAAATTACATGATTTGCATGAGGGAGAGCAAACCCAACACTATGAAAGCTTTCATAGTTGGAAAGAATTATGTTCTTGGTGAATTTGAGGAAAAATCTTGGAAGATGAACCCTAGCCTTAGCATTTCTTGAAGTCTCCTGAGCGTAGAAATTTAGGAGTAAATGAGAGTGCTTGATTATGAAAACTAATTTT